TTTACGCTCCGAATTTAACGAAAGTTAGCCTTTAATCACTTTGCTATAGACGTTACAAGTGAATAGAACAAGGCGAGACCAGTCGACTGAGAGACGCAATGGCACCTGTAAAGCCATCCATTTAGACCACCAAGCAGACATCGCTGCCAGTGCATAAAGTTATTTGAGGGGAGGCTAGGCTTTTGCCTCGAACTGGACCACTTGGATGTACACGAGTCACTCGTAATGCACCGAGAGGTCGGTGACACTAATCCAACACCTGCGTGAATACAAATGAAAATGGCTACTTTTTCACTCATCGAGGTAGCTATCTGCATTGCATGGCACTGCGCAGATGGATAGATTACTTAGCTGCGGCACCTCAATTACCTGTAAAGCCTCGATCTAGAAGTCGCTTTGCGAGGGGTGTATGAAAGCTGCTCAGGTAAAATGGAGACTGCATTCCTACTGATGTCAGAGGCCAGAATCCATTTTATGGGCTGATTCACCACCATTGTACAACCCTCTCATTTACTCGGCTTTACGATTTTTTTACACAAAACAATGCTTTATTTGAGCTGGATGTAAAATCTTGCAAACAAAGTCCTGCGCCATTCTACACTTAAAGAGAAAGTCGAACAGCCTGCTGAGTTGCTACAACACCGGCAATCTCTGGCCATCACCTTTACTCCCATCAGTAATGGAAGCACTCAGTCAGATACACATACTTCTTAAAAAATAAACAAGGGAAAGAAACGTGTGCTTCGAGCATATCCCACAACTCTGCATCTTCCAATGCTGTTAATGCCTACCACGTGGGCCACGGTTACTTCAGCTACCTTGCCATCGTAGCAGGGAATGAGGGAAGTGACTCCTGTGGCAGTGCCAACAATTATCACCAGCCTCTCAAAGTGGATAAGCGAGAACGCATAGCTAAGCTTCACTCCGAATCGACAGTCTTTCAGATTGTTCAATGCGTTCATGCAGCAATCCTTAAAATGGATGAGTTTAGGTAGATGGGATCAGAGTTGTCTTAAACAGACTATCTAAGTTAGCTTTCAAGCGGCTTCGCCCAGGGATTTCTTTGATGCTGTTAGGTGACATTCTAATCTCACGATCATAGTTGTCTCCTTTTAAGGAGCTGGGTCATAGGAAATTGGAAAGAAACGACATCATCATTGAACTTATCCGATGCCAGGGAAGTCCACTCAACACCACACTGTCCTGTCACTCCAACCTCCTCAACAAGTAGGTTTCGGGGATGATTTGAAGCTTGCACCTTTGACTTCTAGGCAAGAGATCAGATTTTTTTCTCATTATTGACTGCCACTTTGTTTATGGTGCAGTTGAGTAGTGTAGGCCAAGCTATAGAGCATGTATTCGAGGTCAAGCACATCTGGTGTCCCCAAGGGAGGACCAACTTCATTTGCCTGAGGCATTCCTTTCGATCGCACTGGAGGTCTTGTAGGATTGAATCGTCAGCCGTCTGTTGTGGTGAGGATGCTCAAAATGGCCAGCTTATTATCAAGTTCAGGGGATCGTTGGAATCATAAGAGATATTATGAATGCCTAGTAGTAATTCTCGTCTAGTCATTCGCTTTGGTCAGTGTATCGGCTTTAAATTTTCCTCGATTCAGCCTTATTCAGTGAACGGAGTCACCTTCGTTTATGCAAAGGGTTAGAGTTGGGACTGCTAAACTGGCAATCAATTGTTAAGTTTAAATAATAGCGTTTCATATCAATCAGTACTTTGGAAGGTCTGCCAAAGTGTTTTTGGTTGGACAGGGTGACTTTTGAATAAGGACCACGAAGAGGCCATGTGAGCCTGTATCACACGAAATTGGAAGTGAATGTGCTCACAGTGCGGTGGGAGACTGGTCACTATGGCGTGCGCTTGCCAAGTATGGATGTTTGTTGCCGGGTCGGAAGTGAGTAAGAGAAGTATTTGGAAAAGGTACAGCCATTAACGTGATGGATGAAGAGGGCTGTTGATGATTCCCATATTCCTACACAGGCATTCGGAACTAGGGTGGAAGTAGGGATAGTTAAATATCTTTCTGGAAGTACTAGATGACTGTCTCCAATTCAGAGGACGGAGCATGCCTGTTTAGAGTTCGTGAACCATGTACTACTTTCAATGCTTGCTCAACTATTTTAAGGTCTCCCATTTGACGTCACATTTTGTCTTTCCTCTCTCTATCCCCACCCTTACCCAATTTATAATGCTTGAGCACTCAAGGGCAAAAATTAGAATCCCCCACCATGTTTCGTCAGTTAAATTGTGAACCGCTGCAATGTGCTCAGCATCACACACAAAAGCACAATGAAATGCATTTCTGAGGTGACAACTTCGTAGGGAATGCTAAGGCAATACCATTACGTATGTCAGGAGGCTATGTCGGCTGTCCGAGGAGGCCCTCCAGATCGCACCCCACAGGCGAGTCATACAACAGGCGTAACGTACATCCCCATGCACTAGTCGTTCTTAAATAACATGAATTCGCATCATTTTCGACAACACCACCTACCTCTTGACAGATAAGAATCACCCATTAATCGCGTCAACGACGCTGGCTTAAGTGTGAAGATAAGGCACACTGGTCTTCTCTCCTCGCCTCCACCCTCGGCTGGATGTAAGAGAGGATGATAAATTAAAGGCAGCAGCTGCGTGGTTCATGCAAAATTGACTCTCCAGCTCCCGTTATTTATGTCACCAGCCTGAATTATCGGTGCGCCCCATTCATGTTGGCTCCACTCACACCCCTAATCTACTCGCATGATACAGCTCAATTCAAATTCGTGCTTCCTGCAACACCACCAGAAAAGTCATAAAGCTATAAATGGTACGATAAATTTCTCTTCCCTTTGTGCGCCCAATTTAACGAAACCGATAAGTTGTTCGAATGGACCTTGTACAAATTTGATGAGCAATTAGTGAAATTGTGTAGACGATTTGGAATGCACATTGTGTGAATAAATACCAGAAGGTGCTCTCAGATTAATTGGTGGCACTGATAACTACAGAGATAATTTCTTAGCTGTAATTTCTACTTCTGATCTAAACTGGTAAGAGTGGACGTATGGGTACCAGTCTGGCCAACTGTCACCAACCGGCATTACACAGCACCTACATCAACAGCTACATTCAAAATCATTCACAATCATCACTGTGTCAGCCAGTGAGCAAGATGCGTACATTTCTTGAATCAGAAAGTCGTCACCTTAATTTAAAAGACCGAAAATCAACTAATTGCTATCAAACGGGTAAAGATGGCGTAAGCTAAGCACTAAGGGAAGTTAAAGTAAACAGTACTTCAAGTATAGTGTGCTAATCAATAAGATCTTTTGCCTGTCATCATGTCAAATGAATCATTTACAAGGTGCTCAATTTTGCAGTGCTCTCTTCTGCTGTGATTTAATTCCTTTTAAATGTCATGGAAATGACCATGGTAATTAGGTGGTCAGTAATTACTCGGTCTCTCCAAAGAAATCGGTACGCCGCAGGCGTCACTTAACATCAACGCAGTGTTCAGTGAAAATTTTCACCGTGAACGACCACTTTGCGAACTTCATTGTGTTCACCCGTAAAACCTAGACCACAATAGAAGGTAGGATCTGGAGGCGACTACATGCCAAATTAGGCATGAAGTAGCTGTCTAAGACAAATTGTGTGGTTGCGAGAAGCGAATGGTTGGCAAATGCAGCATATCAACAAATTGAAGTAGGATATATTACAATTGCCTCAGGGTATAATTGGGCTAGGCATTTTATTCGCATTTACTTCTGAAGTTTGCTTCTCCAAGCGTCCAACCTCATTTTACCAGCTATTGAAGTTGGACCCTACGTCACTCTAAAGTAAGCATGAGGTTAGAAGGCGTTGTTTTTTCAACAATTCCACGTAGGCCCTGCCTTATCATACATAGGGCTGCATAACAGGCCGAAGTGCCCAGAGATATTAAAGCAGGACGAATTAGGCCAAATTCCTACAGTCCCTGTTTTTGTTTGCTTTGACAAAAATTTGATTCTTTTATTTTTAACGAATAAGCCCTGATTTACTCATCACCACTGCCAGTGGAAAGAATTTTATGGCTTTTGGTCTCTTGCAGACCATCCAGCAGTGCCTTAGTCCCTACGCGGTGACAATGAGGCATTCACATCTCTCTACCTCAATGGCCTTAGCCCCTGCTTAATGGAGATGCACATAGAACAGTTCCTTACCCATATTCTACACTGCTCAATTCTGCACTTCACGTACTGTCCTCTACTTAAATTTTAATAGCGCCATGATAGTCTTCATCAAGGAGAATGGAGAGTCTTGCTGCAGTACTTTTGAGCACTTACTCGGTGCAATTAAGTCGTTTACTTTAAGCCATTTCCAGGATGCGCGTTCTCCTCCATCTGATGGTGCAACGAAGTAAATGCAAATTTCTGCAACTGTGAACGACTGCACATAAGCCCAAATCTAGTTCATCAGCCAAGCACGGCATTTTGCGATATGAGGCATGAAGACAGAAGAAGAATGGCAGACTACAGTGCAGGAAAGAGGAGCACGCCGATAGACTGATGTGCATCTGTGCTGCGGAATGCGCCCAGCAGTCGAGCTGACTTTACAAGTCCTTCAAAGCAATGACATGTACCTGCAGCTCCACCGAAACCTGCAAAACTTATACAATGCAGAGGATGCATGATGAAGTCTTGCCTAACTTGTGTCAAAAGTGTTTTTGAACTTAGCTTTTGCTGCTGGATTCTCCGATGAGATCACGCAGGTGCTCGAAGCCAACGTGTGAGCAACTCAATGCCTCATGGCAAAGGGGCAGTGAGCAATCGCAAAAGAGACACCTGCTCATCCACTTATTTCTATCATCGCGCTTTACTTTCCCCACTCTGTTCCCTGTCACACTTATCTCAGCAAGGAAGGTTAAACGCTGAGTGAACAAACCTTACAATAACATCTTCCTATGTAACTCAGACCATACTTGACGTTAAATCAGTGGCGATGAGACAGGGCACTTTTATTCAGGAAGCAGCGAAGGTACCTCAAACCTCAAAACATTACATCATACCCTGTCAAACACGCATCTCATGGCTGTCAGCTTCGTTGTGGCACTTCTGGATTCTTCGTCGGAGGTGTAACATCATTCAAAATCAACACGAGTGTCAGCGGAGTGTATCCCTTCATTTAAATGAGCGCGCTTATGATTCACCTCGAGTATTGCCAGTGATTACAAACTTGCAGCAATGGTTCATTCGAGTACTCTGCCTGCGGACTTGATCCACCTCGCACTACTATCTCATCAATGTTAATAGTATTATCAGCCAAAGGACTTGTCGGAATCAACGGGCACAATTAGCCTGGACACAACTCGTGAAAGCTGCATGTCTACTGCTTAAGCGGTGAAATTCACTCTGTTTCACTTGCCTAGCCAACTGTCACCCTTAGGTGCTTAGAGAAGGGTGACGCAAAGAGGAGAGAGCTCCTTGTGTTTATAAGCTGGAAGGATAGAAGAATGTGGGGGTCTGATCTTTGCAAATTATGCACCCAAATTTTAAACTAAGATCAGCAATTCATGCGACACCTCCGCATCATAATAAGCAATGCGGCGTTTAGGATTAACTTTTCCTTTGCGCATACTGTAGTGCCTACTGAACAGAAGGCTGACGAAGGCAGGAAAGACGATGAAGTTTAAATGCTCTAATGTGCTAACGACGAACCGCCGCTTTTGCGGGCAATTCTCATCTTATGCACACAAACTGAGACTCAAAACTCAAAAGTTGCTTTTGCTTTGCCATTTTCTTTGCAAGCACGAGAGGGAACACCTCAAAGAACTGGGAAGAAGAATTCTAAATGCCTTACCCTGCCAATCACATACTACGCCCTCAGAATGAAAGCAGATCAGAATTCCTCACGCAACACTGCATTAGATGGTCACCTTACTTAGAAGTAGGGAATACTTTATTGTCTCATTTACTCTTCCATCAGGCAGCATACACATGCACGCACACTAAAATACACTTTGAGACAGTCCATTCTAGGCACTTTTCCAGACAAAAGTGCTGGTCAGTCGACAACTGCAACAGAGAAAACACAAGAAACGCGAGGTGGGATTGATGGCAGGAGGTGAGTAGGGAGCAGGATGGGATAAATGGCCTCAAATGATTGGCACTTCTACACCAGCAAAGCCGCGATAAAAGGTTGAAGAGGACAAGCAGTGAGAATACGGGGCAGCAGGAGTATTGCACAATGGGGGATGAACAATGCGGGAAGAGGAGGGGAGAGGATGGACGACATGGACGACTGCTGCTCCAATCTGCGTGTACACAGGATGTGGGTGTGTGCGTTCCAGCGCCCTGCAGTGGAATGAGGTAAGCTTAGTTGCTACTCTCTTCCGCTACATCATTTGGCGCTGCCAGATTGGGACGGAAACCACCGGCCAGCTGAATGCGGCCCATGGGTTTGTCGTAGTCCTCCATGGACATCCTTCTGTTCAGATTCAGTGGTGTTGTCTGCATTTTTATGTGGCTCACTGAAATGACAACAATCACTGAAGTTATCCATACCTAGCAGCACCACCAAGATTTTGATTGGAAAGACTTTCCTCCTCTCACAAGAAGCATGGCTAATGTCTTCACTGACTCCACTACGAGGTGTTAGCACTAGTGAAGCAGTTTAAATGGATGGAACGTGGAGGTTTGTCAAACCTTGGAACGAGAGAACTGCTTTTCTGGTTAAACCTTACTCTGCTGCTCTCTTAATCAGTCTCTACGTCCACAGTTTTGCCACTCGCTGGCATCTCCTGCTTTACATTACCCTTATCCCTCAAGGATACTAAGCCTCGGGGGTCAGGTTAGAGGACGACCACTTGTACATCGTGACAACGACGTCTTGGCGATGCGCCAACTAGGTCAGGTGTTGGTTTCATCAAGTAGTCGGACCCAACAGAGAAAACTACTCAGGCCAAGATAAATCCTTGATGCCCCGTCGAAGAAGACGAATCGATCACTCGCCACCTACTGCATCAAGGTCCTCTACTCTTCCATGTCCTACGTCGTGTACACAGGTGTGTAGCTAACACTAAATCCCTTAAACGAGGAAATGACATTCGGCTTACAAAGAATGAGGAGGGATGACAGACAACCAACTGACACGGATATCGACAGATCAACGAAATCCACCATCAACCTCACTTTCACTTATTGCTGCCCTAAGAGGACACAAACCAGCATCTTGCAAATAGACAGGATTTGATCCGTGTCACAACCTTTCGGGTCGTAAATGGATGACCGCTGGTGGCACTATTTACTGTATTAAGTAGATACGCGGTGCCCTCGACTTAAAGGTGGGTGACTGCGGCCATGAAGCCCAAGGCCTTCTTGTACTACTGTAAATGAGCATCAACCATTATGCGCACTTGAGTGGCGCCAGTGTCCATGAATTACCCTAGCCACAAGCTGACCAAAGCAAGGTCATTTGAGAGAAGCAAGAGTACAGCAATCTCTTAGGCAATCAAGTGGGTGGACAGCTATTCTTTCCTACTGAGAGGATTGACTTAGCAATAAAGCAGAAGTTCTTTTACAGGCTTTAGAGGCTAAATTTACGGATGAGAATGCGTTTCATGTACTAAAGACACACACCTGCATAGAAACATTAACCATAGGTGGTGGTGGTGGCATGAAGGACAGAGACATCAAAGACTCACCCAAACCGATGCCTTGCAGGAAGTACTGCATACTCTCGATCACCTTATCCGGCTAAAACAATGATGGCGATGATGATGACTTTATGAGGAGAAGGATGCAAAGAAGAAGTGGAAGTGGGTGGGATGGTCAAAATTGGCATGGTACTCACCTTCTCTGCCAGCACATTGGCCACATTCTCCACGACAACCAGTTCGCGTGTTGCACAGGACTTTGCGCTGTGCACCTTCATCAGTGCTTCGTAGAGCTTCTCACATCCCCTGCGTTGTGGGGCCAGGGCTCCTGTGATTAGTAGAACCGAGCATCTGTTGGAGCGTCAAAATGCAGCATTAGCAGTGTCTATTGGAAGTACGGTCTTCGGTCCTGGTGAAATTTGGTTAACATCTTGTTGACAGGCATCTCGTACGTGTTAGCAGCAAATAATCCAGGCACCAAACGCATGCATTCTTTAAGGGCCCGCAGCAGAATAGCTACTAGCATTACATCCGTTTATGCGAGTGGGTCCACTCTCGTTTTTGATATGAAGGCAACCAGTGTCTAAAGTGAGATCTGAATTTGGAGCCACTTTTCAGCATCCAATGTGAACCATCTTGCAACACTAGTAAAGACAAAAGGCGCTGTAGGGTAGTAGTAGATAGCATCTTCTCCGCGCTCCCGGTAGCCTCGTGGAAGAGCGGTGGTACGGTTATACACTAACGCGGTTGCATGGGTAACTCAGAGAGCTACAGGCATACACTAGAAGGAACATCGGGAAGACTTCGTAGACCGGATTGAACGACCATAATAAGGTAATCGAGAGGCTCGAGTCGCAAATTCACCGACAGACAATTTTTACGCATGAAGTGAGATAACGAATCAAAGCTTGTGGTCTGGCCAGCAAAAGGATTAACGAAGAAGTCTGTCAGTGCTACCTTATGTTCCTTTGTGGGAAAGCAATACTGTTCACTGGACAATCAACGGATGCAGAAATAATGACACTTGATGCACCACAATCCGCGATACGTGAGTCTGTGACAAGTAAGGGACAAAACCGCCTTCACTTCCTTCTCGTATGAATTCACAAAATATTCAAAATCCCCTGTAATGCACCAAAATCTAGGTTTTTTAATTACCGGCTGTTTTGCACAAATTTTGACGTTATTAAGTGGATGCGTAATCTTCAACATGAGTAGGGCATTGACTATTTGATGAAGAAATCGCCTATTAGACGTCCATTTGGCATGTCTATGCCTGAATGCCCCATTTAGTTCGTTGTCTTCTAAAACGTAATAACTTCGAAGTGCGACTTTAATTTGAAAAGTCTACATTGTTCCGCCGTGCACAGCAACAAAGCTATGCCCTGTTGCCAGTTCACGGTAGCTAATGTTCAGAAGAGTGGAGGAACCTGAACACCTCAGGGAGGCTAGTGGAAGGAAGACATCCTAACAGGATATCGGCCAACTAACGCATGTGACCAAAGTGTACGTCAGCGAAAGATAAACGAAAAAAGGGGAGATGCTTTTAATGACAGCATTAAGCCTCTGACTTACTTTAGATCAGAAAGTCGTTCACTCAGGGGTTTCCGTCTACAAAGGGAGGAATAGAAGGATTAGCCAGGTAGGTGAAGGGAAGTAACGGAAAGTGTTGAAAGTAAAAGTGGTGAAAGCTCAGAGCCTACTCTGCTACGAATTGGAGGCAAAACTACACTGGAATATCACCTCATCGTGATTCTATCAAACCCTGCCTTCGTGATCCTACACACAGTGTCACATTCCGCCTTGAGACCACTAACGTCGTGGTGGGTTACTTCGAGCATTTTGCAGTGGAAAAAGAAGTAAGATCTTCTTAACAGTAGGTACGGTAAAAAATATGCATTAACTACAAATTTGTGCATATCGTCAAGTTCACTGATCGTCTGCTCCAGCGATGTTCATTTCCACACGAGACATCGTTTCCGCAATGCTTAAAGCACAATGGACTTAGCTAAGCAGGAGCCTGAGCTTAGGGTCACGCCTTCTTGGCACTGACAGCTCCTAATAGAGAAGACGACGCCAATCCGCCCACCTCTCACTATTAGCAATTACTACCAATGGACAGGTCAACTAAGTCTTAACGGGATCAACTTACTGCATGTAGGCAGTGATGTAGCGATTGAGGTTTCTCGGATTGATGGAGTGCTGCAAATTCCCTCTGAAGTGTTCGATGGCTTGCTTCAGCTCCAGCTCTGTGCCAGTGTCTTTCAGCTAAAAGGCATATAGTCAAGTCATTCAAGGGTAAGTGGCCTCACAAGGAGACTTTCTGTGTCAGTGGAATTGCCTTCATACTTGTGTTCCATTCATCAGAATGGACACAATGGATGCTTTGGGAGAGGACCACCACAATTGCAATTGTTGCTGAAGGACGTTCTCTATTGTCAATTAGGTAACCAAGGATCAGCTTTAGCCTTTCCACCTACAAGGTGCATCAAGTCGCCTGATAGAAATGCTTGTGAATGTTACCTTGCTACTAGTAAATTCATCACGGCCATATTTATGCCCTCTTCCGCCAGGGACAAGTCCAAGTAACCTGTACAGCTACTAAACTCATTCATTCATTTAAAGTGGGGCTTACTTATTCCCCTTAGACTTCACTTGTTGCAGTTGGATGAGGGTAATTAGCAAATAGACCGCGGGTGTAACAAATCTTTAGCTATTTAACCAGCGACCTCCCGATGTAACAACCTCGCATGTCTAGCTGTCCTACCTTTCCTTCTTTACATATTTATTTGATGTTAAAAGGCAAAAATAATCAAATTTCTGTCACTTAAGAACAGAAAACACCTGCTTTTGTGTTTTGAAGATGACCACTGCCCTGACAACTCTTCTTACTTTGTTACACTATTGGATCACATGTCACATAATTTTCACACAGGATGGAGATGTGTTGGTCAGAGCGATAAGCTTGACAATGGCGCAACTGAGTTCAATCCAACTTACGTCATAGCGGAATCAAAATTTACTAACATTTTAAAAGGGGGAGCAATGTTAATTAACGAAGCATTTCCCCTCCCGTCAGAGGAGAAATGAAGTAAATGAAAAATTAGCAGCACAAAATGAACGACATAATTTGCTTCTAAGGTATTGCCTTCTATGCAGTACTTATAGGTACTTTATCCTACTAACAAGGCTTCCAGTAATTATTTTAGTCCAATGCAAATCTGCCTCAATGAATGCTAAATATTATCATCATCTTCGATCTCGCCTCCAAAGTGGACCTGAGTCACCGCCAGTGGGATTATAGTTCTGACAGGGCCAGAGGGGTATTAATTCGGCTCACCCACTCCAGCGATTGCCCAGTTAGAAGTGATGGGGGTGGACATCAAAGCATCTTGCATTCACACACGCATAAACAGACTGTCAAGGGATAGCTGAAAGCCACTCGTGATAAAGTGCACGCAATGCAGGCGACGATGGTGGTAGTGGTGACGATAATGACAGGCAACAAGGTTATTTCTCCTCATCGAAGCAGTAGTCTAATGAAGATTTTGGAGGTGCTGCCTGTTAATCAATCTCAAAATTATCTCACTTACAAGAATTAAATTTGGAAGTACTTATTTACCTATAACAGATGGGTGGAGGTACTAGAAGAGATTATTTGACAAGAATAAATTTAGCCTGACGACTTTACTCTTTTTACGGTTTCCGTTACTACCTTACTGGCATGGTTTTCAGATCTTATCATATCTTTCCTGCTGACAGTTCACCCACCCCTTCTGCTTCCCTCTTCCTTCTGTGCATTCGTAGTGTAGTATGGCTCCACCCAGAGGCGCGCACACATCACATCTCTCCATGCTAGATGCAAGGTGAGGGTCCACACCGTGGCGCCAGTGGTTGGCAACTTACTTGAGAGGAACGGATTCGCCAATATCACTGAGCACGTACTACGTCAACACGTCATAGATGACTGTCCTCTGCTCACTTATGAGTCTAGCCTTCTTGATTTCACGCCAGACTTCTCCCATAATGTGGTTGGTATACGAAGTGTGTCAACAGCGGAGTACTACACTGCCCACCCACCCACTCAACCACACTCTGCCTCAAATGCTCCCACCTCGAATGCACTGCACTTAACTTTCAGAGGGCACATTCATCACAAATGGTAGTCCTCACGCATTTTACATTATACTCAGCCAAAGAAACATGGATCAAATTGTGCCTTTGACACCTGTCCACAATGCCAGCAGTCTGCTGTGGTGAGTTCATGGGAGAACTTGCTGTGGCAGACCACAGAATAGCCATAACAACCACGACCAGCAAACGAATAAGCTGAGCAGTGAATAGAATGTTGGATGCACTTAACTGCATGACTTCAATTTTCTCAACTATGGTCGCCACACTAATTTTGGCAGTCAGCATTAATAGGTAGGGAAGCGTCACTTCCCACTCATCTTCTGACGACAATAAATCAACAAGCTGACTCACGTATCCAAATCGGTGGAGGATCAGGAAACTTTCTGTGGCAGGGTTCATTCCGATGGTTTTCAGCTTCCAATTAACAAGCTGAAATGGCAGACAAGATAGAAAATAAATATGTAATCACTACCTACTTATCGATTGGCTAACTCGTTCATCCACTCATTCATTGGCTAGTTTGAAGGTCACCACAAGGTGGATAGCACGTTTTTGCAGAAATAGTCAATGCAACCCTTTTTACAAGTCAAATAGTATTTGGTCAGATGAAAGGGTTTTCCATCACTCTTCGAAATGGAAAACTAATATTTTCAACATCACAAACTACAGTTCTATAAGTTGTCAAATTAGATAGAAATCACATTTACGAGTATGTCCTATTAAGGCAACTTTACACCCGGAAGTCCAAATTAAAATGAATTTGGATTCTTCTGGCATCTGATTAGTGACCACCAATTTATCCATTTAGCTTTGATTGCAACGTGTTTTGATCTGTTTCTCATGCAGGACTAGTTAGACAAGCTGATATCCAAATAAAACCACGAAACTACCAACAAACATTTTTACGTAAATGTTGTGACTTTATTTTATGAGTTGGCATTTCTCCTAAGGGAGATTAACGAATTTTCGTTAACAGAATAAACGAGGATTTTAGTGGGTTGGAGCACTAAGTGTTTAGGGAACAAAGTGTGCCTCAACAAAAGTGTCATCCTGACCCCTCCCTCAAAAGCCCCTAAAAGAATAAGAAGGTAAAAGCTTGCCTTGTCTCGAAGGGAGTCTGCGAAGCTAGCAGTCTGACCTGTGCAGTGGATGAGCACAGCACCCATCACCATTTCATCGTGCAACATCTGCATCAATAAAAGTGCAAGTCGGTTTTGAAATGAGAAGAAACTACTCAGCTGGTTTCAAGTTGTTCAAATCTAGGGTAAAGTTAGGAGGGGAAGTGGCAGCCTTAATTTTACCTAGTCGCGCCTTTAAAATCGCCTCCATTGAGGCACAATGGAACCAATGGATCATTTATCCTAAGTAGAAATGGTGCACACCAATGAGGGCAGCCAATTCACACATTTCTGTAGATATGTTTCCTTCAAAGGGCTAGATAAAGAGGGACAGTGAGCATAGTGGTGTGATTTAAATTGCACATGGTGGCAGAAGTGATAGTCGGTGGGATAGGAGACTACGTGGGGTGGATTTCTGACAGAAGGTCACAACTTACACTTTCCTTCCCCATCAGCACTGCTACTAAGATTGTCTGGCACAGAAGAGTAATTATTCAAAGTTGATTCCTGTACCGCTAAAACACTAGGCGCATCACAGGCTGCGGTGCGTGACTACCACCCCGTCTTTGCTTCTCTGTGAAGGTCACGGGAGGCAAATGAAAGTAGCTGTGGAGAAGTCAGCCTAATTGCACCTTTGAAGTTGTTTAAATCTTAGGTGAAGAAGGGTGAAAGGGCAGCCCTAATTCCACCTAGTCGTGCCTTTAACATCCTCTCATCCACTCGAGACAGTCGACCAAATAGCTAAAGGGCCTGGTGTAGGGAGGTCACACACCAAAGCGGGCACCCCAGTCATACCATTCTGTGGACTCATTTCCTTCAAATGGCTAATTAAAGAGGGGCAGTGAGCATCGCGGTGTGATTTAGATTCCACATGGTAACAGAAGGGATACTCAGTGGGGCAAAAGCCCAATTAAGGTGGATTCCTGACAGAAGGTCGCAGCCCACACTTGCCTTCCCCATCAAATCCACCTCCTAGCTTGGCTGCTTGGCACAGAAGGGTAATGAATCAGAGTTGGTTCTTTTTCACAGAAACAATATATGCACATCGCAGCCTTCGGTGCGTGACTACCGCCTCGTTTCTTTCTTCTTCGTAAAAGTCATGGAAGGAACGTAAAAAAGGCTGCAGAGAAGTCAGTTGATTTCACCTTTGAAGTTGTTGATTTCCAATTCCCCTGGAAGCTTTTGTATTTGCAACTTCGAAAACGCATCAATTGAGATTGTAACAATGGCGTTCGAATGCACTATACTTACATCATTGGGTAAATGTACCTTCCCCTTTCAACAATTTGTTCGCATGATCTGATGCATTTAGAAGTTGTATTGTCCTACTTCGGGGAGTATCCAATCATCATCGGTGTAGAAAATGGGGAGAGCATTAAAGCTTACCGCAAAACGAGCCAAAATGTTTGCTCCCGCACCCTCGCCAAACAGCACCACGTGGTCAATGCTGAAAACGAGAGGCAAAAATGAGGCGGTTTTAAAACAGCTTCGTTGACCTCACACACATCTACCTCCATACAACACCACGGGTCAAGTAAAATAGCTAAGCGCCATACAACGGGGAGGCATTTACTTGTCAACTTTTGTCCCTCCCATGTGCACACGCAGTGC